TTTTAATAGTAGTTAAATGAAAAATTTGTGGTGATTATGGATATAAGTCACTGGTGTTTGCTTTACAGTAGACTTCTTTATTTTCGAGTTAAATGTAATAGTAAAATGAAAAGTATTCTTGCAACTGATACCAGGAACGTAAGTGTATGGTTTATTGACAAATAAACCGAAAGCAAAATCTTAAAACTGATTGGATTATACGTTTGTACAGATCATGATTTTGACACTGATTTGAAGATCAATTTCTCACGCATGACTACTAATAGCCTTTTATAGACTGGTTTTGTGTAATGGCTGTCCTTTCTCGTTAGTTGCAGGTTTTTCTTGGTTAGGATAATTATCGCATATGATTGTAAAGTGGCAAACTATACGTATGTGCTAATTACTTAATTATATAGTAATATAAGTTAGCGTTAGTATAATTGAATTTCTGGATTACTCAGCTTTACTTTTTATTACCGAACGATAACAAGTACTTGCTTATTTATTATTGTTAATAGAAAAATGTCAATTTTTCAAATTAAAATAGTTTAAAATGGAAAGCAACAATGGACGGGATTAAGATTTAGTTTTCTTATTACAACGGAAAAAAACAGGAATGATATTTACCAACTTAAATTGCTTATATAATACTGTAGCTTATTCTTTTATATGTTTTTATAAAATGCAGTATATGAATTGTAGTGTTAAATCTAATTGTACGTATTACGTTCCTGGTTTTAGCGCGACGTAGTCGCGCAGTTATCCTAATTGGATATCAGGCATATCACGTGTTTATAATAACCTTAATTCTTATTCTAATCTTATTGGCCAGTATTATATCGGTTCCAGTGAAATAATGTCTTCTAGTGAAAGCTTCACTGGAACCACTGGAACACTGGAAATATCTGGACGTCCAGTGAAGTTCCAGCTTCCAGTCAACAACACTGGTAAGGACAGTTCAAATTCACGTGATATTGCTAAAACCACTAACCTTAACTGTCCCTAACTATCCCTAGCTAGTTATTCACGTGATTTAATCTGTCTCTAAGAACTGTCCGTAGATCCTCCGGATACATAGCAACTAGAGTGTCCAGGGGACTGCGGCAGCAGAATCTGCACAGAATTTGTACAGAATTCTGTGAGCAGGATAATAAATGATTGGAGAACATAGTCTATTGTGATAAAATTAGAATTTTCTTTTTGTTGTGATTTTGATGTGATTTTTTTTTAAAGTATTATTTATATGCCGCCGCAGAATTCGCAAAATCTAACGGAATCGCAGCAGAATTTGTCTGTTAAGGCAGCAGCCCCCTGGACACTCTAATAGCAACCTCATAAAAATTCGTGGTCTCGTGATGATCTACGCTAAAATTTCATTAGCTAAAGCAAACTGCAGATCGTCAACGATATTTGACGTTAGGGTAAGGTAAGGACAGGGTATATAGTAAATTTTGCAAGGACTTTTTTTGCTAAGATGCAGAAAGTGGTTTCGTAATAGAAAGTTTGAGTTATTGACGATTTTTTTTTAAAAAGCCGGCAGTTTGTTTTGTTTTCAGGTTACAGTACATATAGTTGTATAGTGTGTATAACATACGCAATATACATAATACACGTGGCATTTATAAATAAGTTATATGTAACATTTTTCAAGGAACAATTCATTTTAGAGTGCAAAAGACGATAGGGATACTTTCATGATTTGTTCTAGAAAATTCTAAAAAATTTTTTGCGTACAGCACTGTACGCGGCTCATCTCTAGTGATTGGTTTAAAATCACGTGTCCGTGGACATTTTATGCGGTTGCTATGTATAATAAACGAATTTCTACCTATGACCCGATGCCTGTGTTAACAAATTCTGAATTTTGTGTTTGTAGCATAGATCATTTTTTAATTTTTGATGTTTTGAGTTTTACTTTATTAAAAAAGTATAAAGTTTCCATTTTATATTTAATCAGAATATTTTATTATCAATAATTGGGGTCTTTGCCTTGAAAATCACCTTACGACATTTTCAAATCGGGCTAATTCGGGCAAAACAGACCAAAATATCGGTTTGTATTTATATGTGAATCACGTTTGACCTTTATTGATTCAAAAATTTATTAAATAAACTATTGAATCAATAAGTCAAAACGTGATTCACATATAAATTCAAACCGATATTTTGGTCTGTTTTGTCCGAATTATCCTGATCGGAAAATGTCGTAAGATGAAGACCCCAATTGGTATTACACTACTCATATTTAATTATTAGTTGGAACAGGGTTGCAAATCACCTATATATGCAATTTTTAGTTACAATACTGTTAAACCTTTCATTTAGGTTAAATTTATTCATATATTTAGCGATCTATATATTTTCTAAAATTGCTCTACACGATTTACAAACTAAGCTAGTTGATGAAATCATAATGCGAAACTCTCTTTATTGTAACAAAATAAATGAAGAAAATTTCAAAATTAGGTCGTAATGCTAAATCTAATCAAAACTTTATGATACTTATAATGTAAGATTTAGCATATATAATTATACCGTAAAATCTCGAAATAGCGGGCATGGGCGTTATTTCGAAAATCGCGCCCCCTAGAAATAGTATATGTTGATCCTAAAATAACGCCCATGCGCGTCCCAAAATAAAGCGCACCCACTATTATTTATTTGGAAAAAATCCAGGTTCAAAATAGGGATGCTAAAAGTCCGTTCGATTAGAGTTCCAATCCGGATAAATCCGTCATCCGTTTATCCGTATCCGATTATCCGGATAATCCAAATCGCTCAGATATCCGGATAATCTGACGGGTAATCAGATAATTATCCAGATATTAGATATCCAATGGATAAATGGATAAATGGATAAATGGATAAACGGATAATGGGATAGTGATCCAAATTGCTAGTTGAAAAATCAACTAGTTGACAACTTTCCAACTAATCGATTAATCATCAAACTGGTACAGTTTCGATATATTCGCTGTTTCGTGTTGAAATCTTACCAACTCGAAACACTAATCCGGTTATGTTATTATTTCGGTATAATAGATTACGTACGTACCAATTTTATTGAATCCATTATGCCGAAATAACAGGAATTATGAAACAGCTGATCAGTTATAGCCGGCTATTTAGCCGCAGCTAGCTAGCTATGAGCGGCTAGCCGGTAATAGCCTGCCGTAGTCTGCCGATCCCATCCCTAGCGTGAAGGCAATTTTGCATATATAACTACCTAAAATCTAACCTAACCCTAAAGTTATCAATTACATAACTTATCTCCGCTTTAGACGTCCTCCATTTTTGGTAATATGCTTGACTAACTAAATTAAATTATACTTGCTAGCAAAATCCGAACAAATCCCAAACCCAAAAAAATGCAATTGCCTTTTACAAAAAATTAAATCAAAAACATGATTGTGATATTTTTACAAATACAAAGAAACCTCCCTAAATGCACCCTCTTCGGGACTATAGTAAAAATGTGTACTTAGAGAGATGTGTTTTATAGAGAGAAAAATATATATTATTATAAGCTGAGCACCAGACTACACGAGCAATTCCGCCCTTCACAACGTATGTGTGCACATACGTACGTCATGATCTGCGATATCAGACACCCGATATGTCACATGTAAAATTTTAACATATAGGTCAAATGACTGACGCACCTAAATTTTATATGTAAAATTTAGGCAAATTTTGCTTTCTAGACTTATTTAATGATTAAAAAGTTGTCGGTTTAATTTCTGAGTAGCATTTTGCAAACTCACTAGCATTTGAAGGATCTTCTTCTGAAATTTTAAGGGTGGTTAAAAATAAGCCTGAGAAGGATTTGGGCCCCAAAGTTAGCCAATTTTTTGACGATTTTTACAATTTGTCTATAAGTTATTTATGTTGTTTACTTCAAAATATCCAAAATAAGTATTAAAATTTTACAAATTGATCTACGTGACAAATCGGGCGTCTGATATGCAACCGAACAGTGTTATCCAAATCTGCATCAATACCGATACTAACGTTAACGTTAAAATAAAATTTTAAACTAAAAAGTCAAGTTATTCCGATTTTGTCAACACTGATTTACGTATACATAAAATAGTAAGGGGTTCCGACAGTCATTTTGCCGAATGCTCATTTAGTCGACATCATATAGGGTTAGGGTTAAGCATTTGATAAATTACAGGTATATATTTTTACTAGATTTCACCTGGCGTGATGTCGGCTAAATGAGTTGTCGGTGAAGTAATTGTCGGTGAAATAATACGGACCCCAATAGTAAGTTATGTATACATAAAATAGTAATTTATGTAGAATGATATTTAAACCTTTTAAAAACTCCAGAGAAAGATTTAAAATTCGGTTAAACTTACAAATACACATTTTAATATGATGCGACGGTTAAATCAAATCAGAATCTTAACCCTAATTATTGTTTTAACAACATTCGCATACTTTATTCTTTGGCACTTAAGCTTGCAGCAACCATTTTTGGACTTGCTCAATTATTTTACTTTTGATAAGAATTTAGAAAATGTAAATACGACCCTTGGCTTTAATCATATTTACGTTACAAATGTTTCAACTAGGCCAGGAACATATGAAAAATTAAAATTAATGGAAAATAAATTAAATTTAACATTCGAATTATTCCCAATCACATCCCAATTTAATAGCGAAAATCATAATGAACCACAACTATTACAAAAAGCTAATGCTATTTATAATATTTATCAATCAATTGTGGATCATAATTATGGGAGCACATTAATTTTAGAAGACGATATAGATTTTGAACTTAACATCAAATCGATTATGACCAATATCCATCGCACATTACCAGATAATTGGGAAATTTTATATCTTGGTCATTGCAGTAATTGGGAAGGGGCATCGGGCAAACCTTTACCAGCTTACAAGGATGGACAATTTACTCATAAGCTTTTTAAATCTAAGAGGCCTTATTGTACACATGCTTACGCCGTTTCACATAGTGGTGCTCTTAAACTAGTGAAAAAACTTGCTAACTTAACGACTCCGATCGATCTTGAATTAACTCATATGATTACAAAAAATGAAATTACCTCATACACAATTATACCATCGGTCATATCGAGATGCTATATTTCTGAAAAATCAACAGATCTCTATCCAGGAAAAAATATATTAGATGTGTTCTCTTTAAAGAATTCCACATTATTTTCTCTTGGACTTAATTATGAATTAAATAATACTCTTGGCTTTAGTCATATTTACGTTCTTAATCTTATAAGTCGACGAGATAGACGCGAAAAATTAGAAATTTTAGCGAAAAAGCTTAATTTAAAATTCGAATTTTTTCCTGCTGTTTCTCAAGACGATGAAAAAGCACTCAAAGAAGTTGAAATAAAAAACCCACCTTGGCCTTTAACATCAGCTCAAGTAGCTTGTTATCTTAGTCATTATAAAATCTATCAATCAATAATTCAACGCGGATACGATAGCGCTTTAATATTGGAGGATGACGCCGATTTCGAACTTAATCTCGCATCAATTATATCAGATACATATCGATTTTTGCCTTCTGATTGGAATATATATTTTATTGGCTATTGTGACACTATGGAAAGCATAGGTCAGTTATTAGATGGTCAAAGTTTTTCATCACCTTATACAGTCCGTAGATCAATTATTCCAGTATGTACTCATGGTTACGCTATTTCGCGTGCAGGAGTACTCAAATTAGTAGAAAACCTTCACCCAATGAGTGAAACAATTGATTCAACAATTCTTCGTTTAAGACGGGCAGGAACTATTAACACATTTTCACTTGTACCATTGGCAATAGTACAGTGGCGTTCATCAATTAATCCATCAGACATTGCACCTGAATATAGACCTCATTATTTCGCCCCTTTAAAACATTCTGCTTTAGAGCATTTTAGACTTATTAAAGAAACTAATAATACTCTTGGATTCAATAAGATTTACCTTATCAATCATGAGGACGAGCCGGACTATCTAAAGATAGTTGGAAAATTAGCAAAAATATCAGAAAAATTATGCTTAGTTTTTACTAATTTCAGTGCTACTCTTTCTTCAAGTCACTATGATGTTTACAAATCAATTATCAATCTTAAATATGGTAGTGCATTGATTTTAGAAGGCGATATGGATTTTGAACTTAGAATTACATCAATTATGGTCGATGTACATCGAATTTTACCTCTTGATTGGGACATTATTCATCTTGGTTATTGTAATTCTGAAGGTAAATCCGGTGAACCTTTACTGCGTAGCAATAATAATTTATCTGGTTATAAGTTAGTTAAATCTGAGAAGCCATATTGCACATTTGCCTACGCTGTCTCACATGCCGGTGCTCTTAAATTAATAGAAAAAATTGACAACTCAACAAAATCATCACACAAATCACTTGATGTAGAACTAGTTAACATTATTCAATCAAGAGAAATCAACTCGTATACTCTTGTACCACCAGTTATCGTAAAATCTGGAAAATCACATTCCGATAAAGAAACTTCTGACATAAATATTTTGAAAAATTCTTCTAAAGAATATTTTAAATTAGATGCATAAATATTTAGAGATTGTAATTAATTGTATTTACTGTAAAGGATGTGAGATGAAATCTTATTTTATGAAATTTTGAAATGTCCTATTTTCGTTTTAACAGGTCTTGGTTTAGGTTCATCGTTCGGAAATTGAAACATATTTTTAATTTAAGTTATATAGCCAATTTTAATTAATATAAGTTTAAAATATAAAAGCTTGATTTTACAGAAATAAAACATCGAGATGGTAAACGTTTCAAATGATTATTTTATTTTATTTTATTTTATTAATCCATATTTCAAATGCTTATTAACTAAGTTATGCGTGTTGGATATTTTTCTTGATACTGAGAAGGTAAAAGCGACATGTCGATTCTATGATAATTGATTAAATCAATATTGCAGTTCGTAAACAAACCTTATGCATTAATTCTGTGTCAAAAATATATCAGCAATTCATATTTAATGTAGTAAACGCTGCATAAATTCTCTTAGTTTTTAGATTACGTTATTGATGCAGATCACTAACAAAACAATCCCAAAATAGAGATCAGGCTCATTTCACGAGTTTGGTGAATTTTTTAAAAAAAGCAAAATTTATATAAATTATATGACCAAGCAATAATATTAATTATATTATCAAAGATTTTTCACATGAAAAAAAAACAAAAAATTTAAATAAAGAAATTAACAAAGATAAAATTTCTTTATAATAAAATTTAGCTATATTAAAAAAAATGCTTAAATAAAAATAAAAATAAATAAATAAAATTCGCATAGTTAATAAAATGCAAAAAAATAAAAGGGATTTTTAATTTATTGCACGATACAATTCATTGTATCTCATTATAATGATTACAAATATATGTTAAATTAAGAATAGGGTTAAGGTCAAGGTTAGTAATTAAAGCAGGTTCTATTGTAAAATTTTGCAAGGGATTTTTTTTTTGCTATTACGTCAGCATGACAGAAGTTCTTTTTTATTGGCTATCATGTCAGATGATCATCATCAAATATGATTGGCCAATTTTATTAATTTTTTAAATCGTAATAAGACTTAAATTAACATTAATAGATAATTAATTTGGCTTTACTGATATTTAGCTTGGAGTACCGAAGTAAATTTTTTTTACAAATGTTATTATAATATGAGTGTCGTTAAGGGAAACCCGCAAATATATACGTATTGCATTTATTTTTTATTTTGTATTATAATTATCAGCATATTTTTATATAAACGCATATATAAATTCTATAATCTAACGAACTACAATAAACCATTTAATACACTCTAAATTATATAATTTACGAAGGACCTAAATGCTTAAAGTAAAATAAAAGGTCCGTAAGTTCCAAAAGATATAAAATAAAAAAATACAGATATTACAAAATAACTTTTCATAAGCAGCACTAAGAATGTTTAAAAAAAGAATTTCGAATATTTTATGTGTACATATTAACGTTTGTTATAAAAACTTACGTCTTATAAAAGTCACGAACAATAGAGATCTTAAGAGATCTCCTTTCACAGTTCAAATATAAGGCAGCTAAAGAACGAACTGGTAAAGTTTTGAGGAGAACAGACGTGTTCTTAAAGTGTTACCATATGACATACATTTTTCTATAATATTTCTTATATGTAAATCTCGTGTAACATAAATGCATAAATAGAACTTCTGTCATGCTTATTACGTCTGACATGAATTTTATAAACAAAAAGAAAAAGGCTATTTTTTATCATCGTGTAACATTTACGATTCTTGTAAATTTATAATAAAGACAATAAATAAATTATTTCATATAAAAAAAATTGATAAAGTATAAGCGTAAAAATTTGTGTAATGTAAATTTAAAAAACTCCTATCAATTTTTGCATTCATTACGTAGAACACACCCACATCGATACTTCAATCATTTCGGTTGTCCCTTTCATCCAAGCTCCCAATTTAGATTGAAGAATGATATTCCCTTTATACCATTCCTTGACAGTGCGGGTTTCTCGGTATGCCGTGGGGTCAATTTGATAGTAGACTAGAAATTTAACATATCTTTACTGATTCTTGCAATGAATTCACCGCTGTTATCAGAATGTAATACTATGGGAAGGTCATATGTTATACAGAAATTGAATAAGCAAGCTGTAACTTCTTCAGCTTCCACAGATTGTAAAGGTTCCGCGTACGAAAATCTGGAGAAATGGTCCCTAATATAAAAATAACATTCTATCTGACGTGATGTCATATCGATAGTATCTATCTACAAAAATATTTCTAATTAATCAATTTTTTCTTTTAAAAAAACAAAATACAATAACTTTTACCTGCACGTGATGCAAAAGTCCCTCGAAAATTATTGGCCGGACGGGTAGAATCTTTATAGAGGCTTGTCTGGTGATGCAACCTTTGCATTCACGAACGGCATCTTCAACTATTTTTTTGTGGAACAAACAAAACCGCATACGAATCGTTTTAATTGTACGAATACAAAAATTAAAAAAATAATAATAAATAAATAATAAAAAAATAATAAGTAATAAAAAAAAAATAAGTAATAATAAAAGTAAGTAATAAAAAAAAATAAGTAATAAAAAATAAGTAATAAAAAAAAGAATAAGCAATAAAACAAAAAAAATAATAAATAAGTAATAAATAAAAAACCTTTCGCCACATTTTGTCTCGATCAGCGTGCCCCGTTATTTGGTGCGTGGCATAGATTATCTCAAAAGTTTTCGACAACAAAACTTGCGTCCCCAGGCCATTTTCAATTAGTTTAATCGTTTGAGTACTACAGTTGCACCAACAAAAGAATTTTAAAATTATGAGTCACCCGATATTTAAATTTTGGGTTCTGTAAATCGTCGGGATTTTTAAGTGTTAAATTTATCTATATTTATTTAGATCCATTAAACAACGATTGTTTTTCCTTTGCGAATAAAAAGTTTCGAATATTCTGTTCGATCAAAGGTTTCACGCGCCAGAAAGTTGTAACGTTCCCTTTAAAAATTAATAAGAAAAAATGAGAAGTTGTATTTAAAGTAAGCATTCGAAAGCTTTATTTATTTTCAATTTTTTTGCATTAATTAATTTGACATACGAAATACCGTACAGATTACCTGGTGTGATACAAAATTTTTCTTAGTGAAAATTTAAAAACCACATGATTTTCGCATCACGTACGTACGTAGTGTTACTATTGTTTTGGGAGAGCGTATAGAACTATCGGCACAATTTAACTCCAATAGTTAACTTATATGTTCTT